AGTGACACTAATGATGAGGCCTGATTGTCAAGTTCTTTTTAGAAAATCAGCCAGTCCCCAGTTACAGATGTGCCTCAATTACAAAAGTTAATTAGGTACCACCCTCTCATTCATGTCAAGAGTGGTCTGAACAGATGATTACAATGATTCCTTCTAATTTTATGATCTCTAATTACTGAGAAAATTTTTAAGCAATTGAAAAATTTATGCAATGTGATTTGGCTGATCAAGGAAGTACAAGCCTGAATTCAGGTGCAGAGAATACTGGAAGAAAAAGGAGAAATACAAGAGTAGAAGGTAATAATGAAACCATGCTGGTCAGCATGCAAAACAGCAAACTCAGGAAAACAGCAGCCTAACCACCATCGTTGAGTTCTTTCTGTAGATGGAAATTCTGCAAAGTTAACTCAATTTCTTTCAAGACCCTTTCTTATAAGAAGCCCCTTTCCAATGCACGGGAAAAAAACAAAGCTGTGTGTTAGAGAATTTAATAAGAAGTGGGAGACAGAAGCTGGCACTAAGTGCACATCAACTAATTTTAGACTTCACATTCAGACTCCTTCCTGTTTTCCTTAAAATGTTTTACTTTTCACAAGCCTTTTGTAGCACAAGTATACATCTTCACAGCACTTAAAATTTACTAAGGACAGTCATCACCATCTACAAAACACAGCAAAGCATTATTTTTTACCATAGTCCTGTTTTACAGATGCAAACACAGAGTTAGGCAAGCTGGGCAAGACAAAAGTCAAAAAAGTTAGACATGGAAAGCTTTTCATTCTAACCTTTTATTCAAAACATTAGACTATATTAATTCTGTGGGCATGAGTGGGACAACAGCTGCATGGGATTAGTGTGTTAAAGGGTATAGTGATATACAATTTGCACCCTTGAGACAGTGGTTTCATTGTGCCAGTATAACATGCACAATTTAATGGTACTTACTTCAAGTGGGATTGAAGAGAAGTGAATCTGAACCAGTGCTAGACAAATTTAAATATAAGGTACCAGTTACAGGCTACCTTTATTCAACGTCCTAGAAGGATAATTCCAACAAGTCTAGAAAAATGGAAGCAAGTCTAACCAATCTAAAAATCTCTTTTCAGGATTTTGTTACTTTCCCCTAGCCCATCCTTTGCAAGTTCTACAAACAGCGTATTTGTTAATGGCACTAACGTAATGAGCTTATAAGACACCAGTCTAATGCCATATTTATTTTTATATTACCTATCAATTAGTACTTTCATTTGCTTATAAAAAAAAAAAAAAAAACACAAAACCACTGGGCTTACCAAACAATAATCTAAGTGAACACGGGGCTGTACTATTTAGTCTATCACTGGAGGATTGATTATACTTGCTACTTAAATCACTGAACCAGGCAACATTTCAGGTAACTACTTCAATACTTTGTAGAAGAAATGCAGTAGGCTACGTAATTTATCATCAATCTGTAATTTTACTTTTTGCTCAATGTTAATAGAAATAGAAAACAAAGAATTCCAATTCTATATAGTAATTCTGATGGTACTTTCTAAGTGTTTTCAAGTCTCCATTAAGGCAATTAAATTTTTAATATGCATTGAAGCCAACATCGTCCTCTTGATAATCTAGTAAAATTCTAGAAGAGAACTTCGCCCCGATCAGCGTAGGGTATCTGTTTAGTTTAAATAAGGCCATAATTTGAAGCCACATATTTAGTCAATGAATCATAGTGAAGCTAAAAAGGGAAAGCTACCATTACAGCGAAATTGTTGAGGATGAACTTTAAAATATTGCAGTTCTTCACATTTTCATGTACATTTCCAGTGCTGTATTCCACAAACGGAAAGATTCAAGCTTCTCCCATTGTTCATCAAGTGATTTTCACACAAAAGTAGAAACGTATCACGAGTACTTGACCTCTAATATTATTGAATACCAGAATCGCCAATGACCATCCCCAAAAGAGACCCCCCTGGCTGATCAAATTGAAAACGTTTAGCAATCTCAAAAATACTCAGCTATTACTTATCCTTGATTTCCAAAGCAAGGAATTTCCAGCAAAATAAGCTACAGAGACACCCTAAAGTTTCAAAAATTAACTGTGCATTGCAGGTAAGGCAAAGGCCTCAACCCTTGTCGCACCTCACATCATAAGGACATACAGTTGCTGTTAGTTGAGCATAATTAATTTTAGTTTTTTCCAGTATTCCAGACATTTGTAGACTACCTGAAAATTGCTTAGTGATTCTAGTGATACTTCAATATTTTTCTTGGTCTTAAAAAATTCTGCTGGACTAAACAGCTTTAGATCCTTGCTTTTCTTTAACTAAAAGCTCTTGGCTTTTTCTACTCCAAAAGGAGCAGTTCTGAATGGAGCATGCAAATTTACAACACATTTGTTACTACTCTTTGTAATCAACCCTGCCAGAGAAGTTACTGCCACAGGCTGCCTAACAAAGGAGAAGCTGGACTGCAATGCAAGTAATACAACGTAATACAGGAAAAAGCCAAAGAAATTACCTTCATTACAGGCAGTTCCTTCTCAGTTACCTTCTCTCTACTCCCTACAGCCCTTGAGACCCTGATCCCAATCTACGCCCTCAAACCACCTAAGATGCAGGCCTCTACTTCCTCTTAATGACTCAGATGCACAATTTAACCTCAAGACAAGGATACCTTATCAGGCTTGCAGTGACATTAAAGGTCTGTAACATGTTACCTTACAAAAAGTGTGATGTCAGAGTTAGATGTATGCTTGAGCATGATTCAGAGAAAAAATATGGCCCCGATGAGAAAACAAGGAATGAAGGCAAAACAACCAAGCGTGTTAGAGGCAAAGAATGTAAGCCAAAAGAACCTTGGAGACTATTCTACCACCTTTAGTAATTTTCTTAATTTTATCCTGAATAGCATTATGGCTGTCAACAAAGGAAGTAAAAATTTCACTGGGCTAATGCTGCATTTACACTGATAAGAAATTTTCTTAAGAAACTTCAGGTTGAACTTTTATGTGAATTAGAAAAAAAAAAGGGGGGCGGGGAGGGTTCATCAGCAGAGCATATACATGTCAAAAATACCTCTAAAAACACTTTTATTGTTAAACATTGTTGGTCTTTAAAGGAAGAGCATATTTTTCTAGGATCTGCATTGAGTTTCATTTGGTAATCAGATACCAACAACACAATAAAGCCTAGATAAAGCAACTCTACAAGCCACACTTAAGTCACTTGATACATCAAGAAAATACGATATACTAGAGGCAAAACCTCTGAATTTTCATTTTCTGAAATACAGACACCCCCTAGTCCTTTCAGAAGGCAGATCATCTATTGAAATAGCCATCTATTCAAAAAAATACATCAGTAGCATCTCAGGCTTTACTTCTCCTTGATATTAGAATAAGTAGGTCTTGTTCATTAATCACACTTGTAAGAAACACCTTCAGCCTTCAAATTTACAAAAAAGTACTGAGCCACAAACTTTTTGTTGAATCATAATTTTTTCACTCTTTTCCTTGACTGTCGAGATGGCTAGTACTGTTGCATCTTTTAGGAATTTTTCCTTTTTAAATGCTTAAGATATGAGAATCATGGTATTTGACCATCTAGCTAAGGAAAGGCCATATTTAGCCTAAGTAACATTGAACTACGTGCATATGAGTCAAACAGTTATTCATACACAGGATTATTCAAGAGGTATAATGTTTGAATCATTATTTGTCAGAAAACTCAGTCTGTACAAAGCATTACTTTCTAGGTGAACCTCATTTAATTTTTTTCATCAGCTGCATTTACTCTTCCTAAATTACTCAGTTCTATAAGCATTTTAGGTTCCACAGAAAAACACAAACCTATGAGTCTTCCCACTCTGATTAGACTATCCATTTGCACAGACAGCTGCCCTGCCACTGCACAAACTACAACATTCAACTACTGAAAAAGCTTTTTGTTGAGACAAATGTTCAAGCAGGGCCACAAAAAAAAAAGCAAAACCCAAATCCTAAACAACACAAATTGTACAGTTCTACAAAAACAGTTCCGTCACATTACCGCAGTAACTCCTGAGTTTTATGCTAATAAGTAAACACTAATGATTAAGGAAATGGCCTTAGATGCGTCATGCTGAAAAGCACAGACAACGTTACTGGACTTTAAATGTAGAGCAGGTAGAGAATTTCATTATTAGTTCAAAGACAAAAGTAATCAAGATTAACTCTTTTCTAAAAAGAGCCACAACGAATCCTGAAGCTAATATGAATATGCATATGTGTTAGAAGTTCCCCATATTGCTTCCCCTACATTAAACAGATTTGATCCTGACAAGATTCCAAGTTAAAGACACCAAAGACTTACTAACACTTGATGGGTGTGACACCAATATACTAAACCGGAACGCAGGGTTACCTCACACTGTTACTTCAGGGCAAGTACTTCAGCCACGTATTCCAGCTAACAGACCTGAAATCAGACAGCTTCTACTTACCCACGACAAACTCTTATTTGCAAACAGCTAGGTAGACAAACCAATACCAATCCACCTCTAGGAGTAACGTGGGAGGATGCTGATGACATCTTCGAAAGGCTAATTGCATTTGCCAGAAGCCTGAGGTCATCTCTAGCCCTTTGCTACGCTGCCACCCATTTCCAGAAGGTGAAATCAAAGAATACTGAACACATTTGCGTCCACAGTACTTCTCACTTTTCACAAACAAGACTTGCAAAGAAAGCTGGGTAAGAATTTTGACAAAATACTTATGGAGTGATAGAAAACAAGGCTAAAAATTATACTGGAAAGTCATCTTACATTAGGATCACGTGTGCCTATACCAACTGTATGGTCACAATAGTAATGAATCAGGATAGTACTCTGTTACTTTTAGTCTACAAACATGTAACAAAAAGATGTTCCCAGTTTGCAAAAGTCTTACTTTCCAGAGATTGCAAAATCAAACTTACCAAAAAGACACAGCGCTACCAAGCTACAAACAGCTAGAGGCATATATCAATCAGGCAATGATGGTCACCATGATAAAGAACGACCTCAACGCAGTAGCAGCACTGATATCGTCAAGAGTTGCCCAAAAATAAAACAAAGACACAAAAGAACCCAGCGAGTTTTAACGATTTTTTTGAAAGATGCCGAGATATTTGTACGAAAGTTTACAGGCTGTTCATACCGAGAGTTAGAGACATCACGTGAAAAAGCAGAACGCTGCGTGACTGAAGGATCGGTAAGGAGGAGATGGAAGTTAACATCGTGCCCTGACCAACGGCGAGCCCTTCCCCCGGCCCAGCGCCCGAGAGACGGGCGGTGGGGCATGTCCCGGCCCTTGGGGCACGTCCAGCTCTCTGGGCACAACGGATGCAGAAGGAGTCAGCAGCACCACATCTGCCATCCCGTCCGTTACAAGCCCACGCAGCCGCTCAGAAGCCAGACACACCACGGCTTCAGCCCGCGCCTCAGCCCGGCCCCGAGCAGCGCAGCCCACCGCCCCAGCGCCCACCGCCCCGGCCGGCCCCAGCGGCGCCCCTGAGGAACGGCT